TGACTTGTACTATAGTTCTTCCGTTCCGAGTGAGTCCCTGTTGTTCCCGTGATCCTGCAGTACAAATGTCCTGTCCTAGCCGCCCGACGCCCAAGTGGGTCGGTTAACTGTTATCCATGCATAACGGGTCGTAACACTAAACCATTAAACTATACAACTTAAGTTTATATTAAAGTTATTTTAAGTTTAATAAAAATTTACATTATAATTAAGTATATAATAGAAATAAGAGGCTAAAAGTATTTTAAGAAGTAATATAAGATAATAAAGATAATATAGTATAGTAAGAGTGAGGGAGAAAGATAAAAATATACTATATGGTTATATAATTAACTAGATTACTACTTGAAGATAGGAATAGCTTTATAGGGGCGCTAGAGGTGTTAGCTAAAAGGGGGGTATAAGATAGAAGTCGGCTAGGCTAGGCCTAATGTTACGACCGCTACAGTTGGTCACTGTAGGCTCGTAACTATATAGTGCAGAACAGGGGACAATGACAACGGATTTGTCATTATCGAAGCTTTTGCTTTGTGCCACAGTTGGTTGCCCTGACCCGCTCGTAACACCTAAGGCCTAAACCCCAGCCTAAATCCCATCTTTATAATAAGGGATCAGCCACACCACTTCATAGGTATCTGCGCCTGGCGCTCGTAGCTAAATTAATTAAGCCACTTCACGCACCTCCCTAGCAATATCGTCTTGACCCACCACCCCCACCCAACCCACTCAAACTATCACAGCTGCTGCTGCTACCAAGCCCGCCTCCTCTTCCACCACTCCCACTCAACCCGCTTCCGCCCATCATGATCTCACCTTATTACAGCCAGACAAACCCCCCTGGACTAAGCCAAGCCCAACTTGCTGATTTAAGGGCTGAGTGGGCCTTCTACCAATACTGGTACAAACGTAGCCCACAGCTATACATTCAGTGGCTGCATGCAACCAAAACGGTCTCGCAAAAGTACTGAGTCGTTGAGAAGACTCTCATGGAGAAATCTGGCTGTGCAGAGGGTGGACGCGGCCAGGAATGCATGTGACGCGGCCTTCGCAAGGAGACCTCATAAGACGCAGCAAAAAATCAACAAGACGTGTGCGGAGTTAGCTGCTGTGAGGGTCCTGCACAACTGTGCACATGAGGCGTGCCAGAAGGCTGAGAGCGACTTTGTGATTGCTGAAAGGGATGAGGAGGCGGCGGCTGTCGCATTTGAGAAGGACAAACCTAAGAAGGCTTCCTCATAAAGGGACCACAGGATAGAGAGGTATTGTCCTTCAATGTCTTTGTTCGTTTTGGGAGGTTCTGATCCTGGGTTACCGCACTCATTCTGCTAGGCGCCTGCTCCTGTGTAAAGACAGAGGTCGGATGGTGATCGATGCCCCATAGAGGGAAGCAAACAGCAACAGAAGTGGAAGCAGTCAACAAATCTACAGCCACATGTCCCAACATGGACAAAATCAAAATAATTTGCCCTGCCTTGACTATGGAAAGAGGAGAAGGTGTTCGTCCTTTTGCCCATTCTTTGTCGTCTCCCGCTTGCCGCTGCCCTCCCGAACCCGTTCATCTACTGCTCGATGATGTTGGTGCCGCTGTCGCCGCCTCCTTCTGGCCGCGAAATGGAAACTGTCAAGCTGCAACGACACCCCCGAGTCTGCTGACCAAGATGCTGCACCCGTATTCGGCGAAGACTCGGCCGACTGGGCCAACACGACTCCCTCTCCCACAAGGTTCGATTCCGTCGGACCCGATGCGTCGACCCACATACCCAAGCCATCAACATCACTTTCAGAGACACCTTCAGGCCGCAGACGCCAAACCGTTGAACATCACCTTAAAAGCTGAAAATCACATTAAATCCTCGCGAGTTTATTCCGTTCAATCCAGACAGTCCGAATCACGACGTCTTCGTTGTGGAATCGGCCATCGACCTCTTTGCCACCCCAGACCCGGCCAGATCCAGACAGTCGCCTTGGCGTCGCGTTGTCGGCAGCATTCTGTCACCGTCAGGACGTCGTTATCTCGTCGTCCTGTTTCTCCTCTCCTTACTCATTACCGTCATCCCGGGGCTGGCCTATTACATTACTGACCCGTTGTGGTGTCGCCGGGTCAAAACTTCACACGAACCGTTTTCGCGACCGAAACAGTGCCTTCGTATCCAACACACCCCCCTCCCTCTGTTTGACAACATCACCGACTTTCTCTAACACTACATCGAGGCCCACTTGCTCTTCTTTGTCGGTATCCAAGACCTCATCGACCGCTACTACCTCCCAGACGTCGACTGAGCCCCGCACTCGAGTGCCAAAAGCATGACACGCATGTTCCTAAGCCACGTCTACACCGCAAGCATCCAGCTTTTTGAAACCACCCAGAAATACTTGGACCTGTCTCACACAGAGCTCACCGAGGATGCCGACTTGCTTTGTTGCGGACTCTGCGACGCCGTTACCGATCTTTCCTCTCTCTGGGGCGAGGCCTCGACGACACTGGCCATCCTGTGGTGTTTGAGCTTCGAACTCGCTACCTTTTGCTTCCGTGAGGCCATGGAGATGTCACGGCCATCTGCACCACCACTCGCTCGAAAACACTCCTCCGATGACGACGTGTGTTTATAATCAGACTTCGTACACATTCGTCCGCCAAGTTCACTCAGACTTCTTCTCTGCCAGAGTTCAAAAGCAGTCTCCCATTGCAAAATGTTTATACGAGGCCGCCGGGCAGATGGCCGAGCTGTCCAAAACTCTGCCAGCCGTCATCACCAAGGGGAGCCTTCTGCTAAATATCGTGGCCGACGGCGACATCCCTGCTCGGTCCCGCCAAGGTCGGAGCGAGATGCAGCACACTCGCGCCCGGTACGGGTACGCCATCTCCAGGTCACCACCACGGAACAGCGGATCCTCTGTCAAAAAGGCCGTTGCCAACATCGTCCCGGCGTCCGATGAGGCGGCTGCGATGCTGCGGTCTCGGCAACGCGAATTATTACCACGACGCGGGTAAAACTGCACGGCTCAATTGACGCATTCGAAGGGCTGGGAAAAATCGGAGACAGTGAGGTATTGGGATTGGAGGCCGTGAGCTGACGGGAGGAATCCTAGATTGACGGTAGCCCACCATGTCGTGGCGTTCGGTAGGCTAGTTGGAGTCAGCTTTGATGTTAGAAACGAATGTGAAGTGACGATAGGGCATCACTGTGGATCGGCTGTGGTTCGTTTCTGGAAGGCACCTATCTCAGCTATCTACCTCGTACCTTACCTATCTGAACCGAATCAGCCACTTGCCCAGAGAGAGGACTGGCACTTGAGTACGTACCTCACCTTGGATTTCGACGCAGAGAATTGATAAGGTACGTACCTTGGCTTGAGTAGTGTTTAGAAAGCTCCTATGGAAGTGGGTGGACAGTGCTCGTCCATCACCGTGAGCCATGTCCATAATCATTTGACATGCTTAACATGTGATTGTGAGCAATGTCCACCATCATGAGCCACGTCAACCATCGTGACCAATGTGCAGCCTTCTCCTGTTATGTTCTCTGTCCAGAACACGTTCGACTTTATCCCCTGTCTTTGCAAGCGTCCGCGGGCTGATGATGTGACGTAATGCTGTATGGATGCAAAGTGGATGGTGGATGTTGGTTCATTCTTGAAGCCAAGTCATACTACGGCGATGCGTGCTGCAAGTGAGTCCTGATTTCGGGCCCTTGAAAATTGATTGAGCCGCCACCACACGAGGGACCCATATATAACGGTGGTGACGGTTCTGCATGAGGCTGGATCTGATTCGGCACATCGGAAGTGGCCTTGAGAACCAGATGGCGGCAAAACTGACCCCGCGGGGAAGGGACCTAGAGACAATGGCAGTGGAATGAATCGTGGGAATGGCAAGACCCAGTGCCACTCCAAGTCGAGCCTTCCATCTGTCAAAAGAAGAACGACAGGAGGGGCCAATCACCTCGGGCTGAGCAGCTCTTTCCCTCCTTTCCCCTCTGGTCGCCCCTGCCCCCGGAAACACCAAACTCCCTTACCTTCGGGCAAGGAAGGCACCTACGAGGGCACCTACACCCACAGCCCTCCACTCTGCTCTTCGAAGTTTTCGCACTTTTGCCTTTCTGATTTTTCTTTTTCTTTTTCCCCCTTCCCTTGCCAACTTCACAATCTCTCCACGATGTCAGCAAGCCAGTCCCAAGTTGCGCCCTGGACGCTCGACCTCCCATACCGTGGACCACCTCGGCAAGCCTCTCTCGCGCATTCAACCACGACGACCCCGTCACTCTGCTCAATGCCCGAGATATCCAACCTCGTTGACCGTCTTCATGCATTGATAAGTCTTCCGCAAGATCAACAAGACCATTTCGTCATCCTCGATGTATGGGACGAGCTTCGCGCCGCATACTGGAGAACTGTTCATGCGCCCGGGCCCAACGGCAGCGCAGTCAAGTGTACGTGGCCAATATTCGTCACTCGCTCTTTCGGCGACCGCGCCGACCGAGTGCTTGGAGTTGTCTACAGACCACAGTACCAAGCCATGGTTCGACGCGACTGGAAAGCCCTCGTGCGTTTCTACCGTGTCCAGCGGTCTCTCAAACTCACCGCCCCTGGCGTGTTCCTCCACCTTGGCCACCAGATCGCTACTTCTTCAAGATCTCTGAAGACGCTGTGCAGGCTGTTAGACCACCCACGTAAGATCAGCTTCCAAGGAAGCGAAGTCCTCTCTGTGTTGCAGCAAGCCATGATTGCCAGGCACGACGGCGCCGAAGCACCAGAGCTGGAACTGCGGGACCTCAACATGGCCGTCCAAGGTAAGTCAACTTACAGCACACGGCGGCAGAGACTGACACTTTAGACGCAGAGCTCAACCGACGCAGACGGGCTGCTCGTGCGACCGAAGACGGTGTTGCGACAGCTATGGGCAACCTTGCGATAGGCGATACTTTCTCCCCAATCCAACCAGAGGACAAGCAATCAATGGCTTGATATTACAGAGGCTACGGGGAAACGGTGTTGGAAGGGATGCGAGGCAAAACGCGGTCGAATTTCGGGTATCAGGATGGAAGTGGGAGGTAGCATGGAAAGCAAACTATTGGAATTGATTCGTCTCCATTCGCAAAGTTGTCTCTATTGGCGCGGTGAAGTGGCATGATCTGCGATAGTACCGTTCACGACCGAGGAGCACGAGCTCTTTGCGCGGGACTTTGATACAAAGGCTGGCTGGCTTGTGCGATTCAAGCTGCTGGGCATGTCCATGGGACTTGCGGTGTGGCAAGACAAGTAGAGACTTGATGATCTGAAAACCGGACGTTGGGACGGGAAAAACACTGGAAACGTTTGCCCACCCAAAGCTACGACAACACACTAGTCACCCAAGACATTCGCAGAGATCAAGTTTTCCCCCTTCCTCCCCGTCACGATCCTGTTGTCCCAATGTTTACTCATTTTCGGCCCCCGATTCCAAAGCCGTTGCTTCTTCAGCGTTGGCTTCGGCCAGCTCCTAAAATGCAACTTGGAAAAGACACTGAGGTGAAGTGCGGAGGCGTGGACAGACCTCACATTCCGCGGTCCAAACCAACGCAAGCTCCACCAAGGTGCTTGGACACTCTAGGTAGGTAAGGCGTGGGTACAGCACGTCACATCACTGGGGTGGACAGGCCCGGGCCGTTGCGAGCACTCCACCTGCCGCTAGGTACCTCTGAAGTCTGAACCTTCACAAGGGCGCGGTCAACGTTCAGCGCACCAGCCACAACCGCCGCCACTAGCCCCAAACAAAATGCGCGCAGCAGCCGCCTGGACGTCCCCGGATGCGGTGCAGGCATGACCAAAGCCAACGGTCGCCGTGAAGGAATACTTTCCACTTACCGTCGAGCCGTTGCAAGCACCGCGGCTTTTATCTGTATCTTACTATGCCGCCCGTTATTGAGTTTTGACATGGTTGTTGACCATGCCCGGGCTGTTGCCGTGTCATGGTCGGCGTCGCGCAGTCGGAGGGTGTGCAACAGTCTACCTGCAGCCTTTTTGCCTTGAGATGGCTTCGATGGCGGCGACCCCCGATTGCATCCGTCTCAACTCCCTTCAGCTCCTCGCTTGCCCTTCGCCTTGGCTCCACCTGTTTCTACGCGGTGCCCTTATCCCAAGTCGTCCATCCGCCTTTATCGAAGAGTCTGGCGTGGCCTGAGAATTGGCCGTCTGCCATCCCGAGGCTTCCGCCGCTTGACCGATCGCATTGCCTCTCCTGAACACCTGTGATGCCTCGTTTGACCAGCGATCTCCATCGCACGGACAAGCCGCGATCGAGGGTTTACGATTTCGAGAGCCGCCTGCGCGACTTCATGTCCGACATTGCAACCGCAACACGAACCTGGACCCAGTTGCACCGCGACTTAGCCGACTTGGGGAGACCAGCAGCAATTAGTCCAACTCGGCTGTGCGCTCCTCAATTCCTGCACTCACTATTGCAGTCTCTCGATGTTTTTCTCAGACTAGCCCCAAGCGACGCATTTTCCGCCAGGGACGACATCGTGCCAAAGTTGCGCAAAGCTGCCACCTTGTAGGCAGTCGACAAGTCCAAGGTTCTGTTCCACATCGCTTTCGATCACTGCAAGCAAGACAAGCCCTTCTTCATCACCCTAGTCAAACTTGTCGAGGCGAACACAAAATGGGAGGACTGCATATATCGCCTGAATAGTGCAGCCGCTGATGGCAGGGGAGCATACCACCACTACAACCCCAGTACTAGATCAAAGAAAGGAAACATGCGACACTACGTCCAAAAAGTCATTGAAGCATCAACGTTTGTAGTGGAGTGCTTAGTGGGTTGTGTGTGGTATCCCGCCGGGGCAGAATATCTGCCTGCGTGGGATGCGATGGGCTGGCGCCGTGGCCTCCACTCGACATGCCGGCGCGGGGCACCGAGATGACGATGTTGAGCGGAGGCGGGAGTGATTCAGTGGGACGGCTCCCTAGCGCGATTGAATGTCCCGATTTGCAGTGGAAAGGCCAGCAAATTTCATCTCTGCCCTGGCCAGCACGGTCCTGACCACCCGGGCGGCTTCTCAACTGGGAGAAGGGCCTGCCGTTCCCCTCTAACTTTCCATCCCGACCCTTGCGGCTACCTGGTGAGTACCCTGATGGATGAACCCCGCAGAAAAATTCGCAGTTGGCAGGAGCATTTGTTCAAGCAAGGTACATTCCATCCGCAAGATTGGGCGAATGACGGCATTCTTGCCGCACCGTACGTCAGACCTGATCTTCTGGTTCCACTTTGACTCCTGCTACCTTCCCTTCAGATCGAAGACACGGAAGTCGATCTTTCCATGTATTTGCTGGTTCCACGTCTTTTGCAACAGCTTGCCTGTCGTCCCTCCCTCTATCCTGTTCTTCCACCTCAGTGGTTTCAAATCTTCCTCTACATCCACACTTTGAGGCCATCGTTGTGGTATGTTTTCTCGTGCTGTTACGTCGATTATCTTTCTGACATCCATCCAAGAGCCCTGAAAATCCGTCTCCCTCCACGCCGATGCAATGGCTCGACAACCGATGGCTTGAGAATCGATGCCTTGACAATCGATTTCTCGAAGACCGATGCCTCGATGACCAATGTTGCTCTTCGAATTCGAAAGCCGATGCGGTAAGATGACATAGCCCGAACCGATGCTATGCCTCGACGGCCCTGCGACTCAAAAATCGATAAAGGACTCAACTTCTCACCACCTCTTTGTCGTCACGACCCTCCGTGTCTTCATTGCCCTCCCTGCATCTCGAGAGTGTCTCTCTGAGCACGTCTGGTGCAGTTGAGCCGTCAGGCGTCGATACCAGTGACGGTTTCGCTGGGCTTCATCGCGGCGGTGGCTTGGATGGAGGGCGCAACCGGGGCGCAGATGTCGATGGCGACGCCTCCACTGCATTGATCCTGCCACACACAGGCAGTTCGTTCTTGTCAAAAGCATCAGCGAGACTAGACTCAGAAGCGTTTTAACTAGGCTGTAAGCATGTGAACGAAGGGACGAAAGCAATGCAGGAAGACGAATGCCTTGAGTTCCTAGACTCAGCATACGTCGGGGAGTCATGGTGTCTGTCTGTCTCCGTAGTCTGCACTCCGGCACCGGGTTCCCGAAGATAACTAGTCAAATAGAAGCCAACAGCCTGGGCCGCAGGCCGCTCTCGAAGTGCTGGAGTCGACGTCCTCTAGCACGTTCTCCAGCCCAAAATTCGCCTTGCCAAAACGGCTACTAACAAAGCTGAATACATGGCTTTTCTGCATCGTGTGGCACTGCGGCGAACTCCCCAATCAAGAATTTCCTTCGGAGGTATGCTGATTCTAGCAGCCTCATGAGTCGTCCAAGTTCCAAACCTTCCGCCAACATGTCTTGTCATCGACCCCAAACCCTACGCCGTCCGCCGTCATAGTAGCTAATATCTCTTGGCCCCGACCGTGACCCTGAATGCCTTTGCAGACCCACCGCTGCCCCCAAACGTCAGGCAGGCAATCTTCAAGGCCAGTTTCATCATGATGAACGTCAACTAGCTAGCAAGGGCAATGACTTTGCAGACGATGTCTTGGTGAAGGGGGCGCCGAAGCTCTGCGTATTTGCAGCCGCAAACGACGACCAGGTGGCATGATGGCCCAATATTATCGAACTACATTCTGTCATTCTATGAGTACGATATCCACAAGCTGAATGGGTTTCCATCAAGAAGACTTGCAAATCATGCTCCCGTTCGAAGCCGAGAAAGATGAATTTCACAGTGAGCGACAAATGCTTGGTTCTGGCTCAGCCACTACCGTTGTCGGTTGGCCTGAAGATTGAAGATGAAGTGCGAAACAAAGCATCTACTACCGGCGAAGGATGCGCGGATATCTGTGCTTGTTTGTTTGCTTGTTGTGACAGACCAGTTTCGGAGCGCTTCCGCTGAGTCGTCTGGTTGAACGAGACTTGACGTTTGATGCGCTGGTCTCGAACCCGAGTATTCATGAAACCCAATCACGCCATTCTTGGCTGACCGACTAGAAGAAGTTTATCAGTTTCTATTGTGAGTTTCGCTCGCCGCTTGCTTCCTTTCCGTGCAGCGCATCCTGCTGGGGGTGAGCAGAGGGTGATTTCCTGTACATCTTGTGAGACTTCCACGGTTCTCACTGGATGCTACAATCAAGCAATTCTTCAGCCCTAGACGTCATGTCGCCTTGGGCAGAGATCCGGCAGCACATGACGGGAATGCTTGGGCCGCGTAAACTTCCCAAATGGATCAAGCTGACTTTTAAAGTCGGGTCCCATCTTTGCCTTGGACTGGCTATCCGGCGGGCGATGTTGACCAGAGACATTCCCGTCCGCTGCATCCTTCAGTGTCTTTCTTCTATGAAGGCGATACTATCTCATCGATAGTGGTCGTCATTTTCCATGGCTAGATTCGAATCTCATTTGACGTACCGGTTTGTTAGTTCGGACCCCGGCGCGTCAAATGACAAGCTTTGTATCGGTGCCAATTTGACTTGATCGAACTCAAAGCGTCGCCTCCCCTGTCGTGCAATCTGCATCGAAGTCAACAACTATATGAACCAAACTCACAGCATAGAATCAGTTATAGTATGTGTTGTTGGGTCTGTAGATGGACTTGGCTTGGCCTGTGACTTTGCTAGTTGACCAGAAGCCACCATATGGTCCGACTGTCTCTCATTCTGTACACAGACCGACCTAAATAATTACAGCCCCTATGGACGACTTTGCCGTTGATCGATCCACGGAATGCTTGGCGTTGGGAATAGTTGCACTGCACCGTCTGCGTTGCGGGTGCGTTCTAGCACCTGGGCCGTCTCAGCAGTATTCTTTGCCATGTTTGCGGTCTGGTACGACAATTGAACGGCATTCGCGCGTTGATTTATGTCAATACTGCTGCTCGGATTTGGCAGGTAGTTGATGGGATGGTTCCGGATATGCGTCACACGGCGACTGGCTGAGTTACCAACTCAGTTGCGGCGGCAGATG